TCTGAACAATGACCTATTCTGTGCCATCCTCACAATTTCAGACTCACTTGAGCCCATTGCAGCCGTCACTGTGTCAGTCCATCATATTGAAGGTTTTCCTCTCTTTTGCTGATCTTTTACTTTTCTAAGCATGATGTTCCTCTCCAAGGAATAACCTTTCCTAGCAACATGTTCTTAAGTATGGGAGATGGCACTTCACCATTTTCCCCTTCAAGGATCATTCTGGCCATACCTTCTCCAAGACATAATTCTTTGTACTTTTGGCAGTCTATTGGATATTCAGTACTCTTCTCCAACATTATAGCTCAAAGGCATCCATTTTTCTTCTGTCATCTTTATTCATTGTCCAGCTGTCAGATGCAAACTAAGTAATAGAAAAGACCATGTCCCGAATCGGAAACCCTAGTCTTCTAATTGACATCATTGTTGTTGCTGTTAATTGCCGTGGAGTCGTAGGTTACTCATAGCAACCCTATGAACAAAAGGCCTGAGCACTTGTATAACTTTCCTTGTTTCTCCAAGTTCATAGGATTTCCAGAGGCAAACTGTTTTGGAAGTGGATGCCACTCTTGCTTCCAAGCTTGTTTTAATAGGGGAGCTTCACCAAACACTGTCCACCATGCAACCATCTTTACTCCTCAATAATTAGGAGAGGTCCCTGAATGTAGACTTTGCCAGTGCATTACTCTTCCTGCTCTCCTGACTGCTGGTATGAAGGGTGTTTATTGTGGATCCAAGTAACTTGAGATTGTTGACCACTTCAATCTTTTCTCTATCATGATGTTGCCTTCTCTTAGTAGTAGATCCCATGGCTTATGCGTTGATGAAGAATGCATCTAGGTGTAAAACTCCGTACTATGTATTTGAATAATAGTTAACAAATCTTACTAGTATGCATATGGACAGTATTCTATCATTAACATTTCTCAAACCAAAAGAACAAATTTAAACCTTGAGTTCCAGTATTGAAGGATTCTGTAGTCAAAATCTTGAATGATAAAGGAAGCATCAGAGGAAGATAGAAGAAACTAGAAAGAATTGATACTGAACCATTTCAGCAAGTGACATGTGATCAACAACTAATGGTAATGAAGGAGGAAGTTCAAGTTTTACTGAAGGCATTGACAAAGAAATGAGTCTACAAGAATTGGTAAAATATCAATTGATACGTTTCAACAAACAGGTGCAGCCCTGGAGGTGCTCAGTAGTCTATACCAAGGAATTTGAAAGACTGCTACCTGCCAACTGACTGGAAGAGATCCATATTTATTCCCACTTAAAAAAAAGTGATTCAACAAAATGGGAATTTTTCAACAGTATCCTTGATATCACTTGCAAGTAAAGTCTTGTTGAGAGGAAACTGCCAGAAATTCAAGCTTTGTTCAGAAGAGGCAGTGGCAAGGACAGTTAACATTGCTGCTCTCAGCTGGATCTTGGTTGAGACCCACAAATACTAGAAAGGTGTTTCTTTTTTGTTTTATTGACTATACAAAGGCATTTGATTGTGTTTGATCATTGCAAATGATGGCTAACATTGAGAAGAATGGGACTCTCAGAACTCTTAACTGTGCTTATATAAACCTATACATAGATCAAGTAACAGTTGTCAGAACAGGACAAGGGAACATTGACTCAGAATGTTTCATGACTGAAGCATTCCCCTATATTGCACCATCCTCACAGTCTTCACCATGCATAAGCCCATTGTTCCTGTCACAGTCTGTCTTATTGAGGGTCCTCTTTCTGTCTCACCATTTCCCTTTACAAGCATGATAACTTTTTCCTAGGATTAGCCCCTCTTGACAACATGCTCAAAGTATGCGAGACCAAGTTTGACTTGGACTCTCAGGAGCACTCTGGTTGCATTTCCTCCAAGACATACCTGTTTACCTGAAACTGTGATATTTCTATGTTGAAAAGTGTAATTTATTTTCAGATCCTAACACATAGAAAATGATCATGTGATTGTTATTTTTTTTAATATCCTTTGAAACCAGAGGTTGGAACAAATTCAGTTATTTGCCTGAAATGAATTTGCTGCGTTAATGGGGTCTTAGTATTTCCTCCTGTGCTATATTTCATTAATCTTCAGTGGAATGTGCCTACAAACTGTTTTGAACTTGCAGTGAGGTGAATCAGTGACATTGTAATTATAATGCTCTCGTCTTCTGAAGATCAGCTTGCACAACTTTAACAGAACCTGCAGTGACCTGAGGCAGTTTTCCCTTAGTGTTCTAATTTTCTTCTGATTCACACTTAAGCTTTCCTCTTTAAGGACCTAGTGAGCATGACATCTGACAGATACTGTTGGACATACATTCCTTTGACAAGTATGTGAACAAGCACGTTCAGAAGGCAGGGCAAGTTGGCACATTTGCTTCAAGCTTTTTGGAATTCAGGGAGTGTGAGGTGGAATCCCAGCCTGCTGTGTGGTGTAGAAACTCTGTCTTCGCTTAGAGCATATGAATGTGACCTTGCTTTACTAGTAACTTAAATATGAGCAGGTAAAATGCATCTCTGCCAGTATTTAACAGCTCTAAAAATGCTGATACCGTCTGAGTTTGCATTAACAAGTGGACCAGGACTTGTTCTTACTAGTAGAGCTCATAATGGGATTTTTTTCCCCTTTTCTATGTTGTTTTCTTTACTCATCTTCAGGAATGACTTAACTCAAAGTGACAGCTTCATGGATAACCGCAGTGCTGAAAGGATGAACCATATTTAGGTGCTATCCTATAAAGATAAGGAATATTTTTAAATGTTGTTTATTATCTTTCTAATAATAAAAATTTAAATACAAACAAGGCTTGCCATAATGTGTTCATTGACTTTGTTTCTCCAGATTTACCTCTCACTCATCTCCTCATTGTACCTTAATGGTACTTCAGTCATTTGAAGCTGCCACTGTTCACCACATGTACACAACCGCCTCCCCCACTCACACGGATGTATGCCCAAAAAACACTCCTTCAGTGTTTAGATCTGGGATCAGACTATACTAACTTAGGAACTTCTTCTGAGTTATCACCTCTGATTTCATCTCTTCCAAATTCATACTACTCACTCCAGTCCTGGTCTTTCTGTGTGTCATGCTTCTCACTCTGCAGTATTTCTTTATTGCTTCATTAAAGTCTTGCTGACTGTGCTCTTCACTAGCTTGTAAACTGACCAAGGGAATGGAAGTCATTAGTCTCACTCATAAGTAGATCCCTGATGCATAGCACATACTGTCATGTACTAGGTTATCAATCAATATTTATGGAGTTTAGCTGAATTTGAATCATCTCGCTCATTTGTTTTAGAATCCCTAAATATTCAGTTTAATTTCATGCAGGTTTGAAATCAAACATTTTCCAGTAAAATGATAAAGATTAACTTTCTAAAAAAGTTTTATTCATAAGTGACAACTTCAACAATTAGTAGCATACTATATACAGGGAGCACTGGCAGCTTAGAGAGTGGTGCTCCTAACTCAAAGGTGGTGCCTCGGTGATAATTGGTATCCAGTCTGAGGGGGAAAGAGGAGAAATAGCCTCCTATGAGATTTACAACTCAAGAAACCACTAGCTTGATTCCAACTTGACGGCAGGGAGTAGTATTATTTTGTATTGTTGAGTCAACTAAGACTTCTAGCAACCCTGAGAACGATTCAGAATGTTGCTCTGTGGACTTGTAGCAGCCCTGAGAACTACTGGTCAGAACGTTGCTCTGTGTTACACCATTGTTGCCATCTCCACCATCGTCGTGGTAGTAGTAGAACACATAGCAGGTAAGCTTATTACTTTAAAGGAATCAAAAGCTTCTACCTAGTAAATGTGATTCTTTAAGTACTTAAGAAGCCCTTCCTATACCATAAGCTCTTTACAAGGCAGATACTAAAGAAGTACTCAATTTGGGACTGGCAGTGTCTTGTAATGGGCTGTCGAGTTGGAACTGACTTATAGGTGAACCTCCAGTAAGTTTCCAGAGACAGTTAATCACATGGGAAGAGACTGCCCATCCTTTTCCCACAAGGCTGCTGCTGGATTTGTGCCTTTGGTTTGACAGTGGAGCTCCTTCCCACGAAGGCACCAGAGGATTAAAGTAATGAACACATAGGCTGGACTGGAGTAAATGTTAGATGTGAATTACTGGAGTGCATTATGGGGAAAATGATGACTTTACAGTAGCAAAATTTAATATTGCATTCTAATTTTGAAAAAAAGGAAAGATTCTGAGTAATTTTCCTAGTAGAACAATTGAGAAGAACTGTATCTTGAAGTTCACAATCATGAGCAGATCAGTTTTAGGACGAAATACATCCATATACTCTTTTGATGTGAGTGGCAAGGACTCCTGTTACTTGCTTTGTATGTATCATCAAGAAAGATTTAGTTCTAGAAAAAGACATGATATTTGGCAGAATAGTGTGTCAGCTTGAAATGAGGAAAGCTCTCAGTGTGCTAGAATAACACAGTCACCTTAACATAACAAATATACCAAAAGTCAGGGGGAGATGCTCTGTTGTACAAAAGATTGTCATGATTACAGTCTAACTTGATGACAGCTAAACAATACACATACAAAACACAGTAAATGCTACAGTATGTTGGTGTCTGGAGGATTTAAAAATATGTATATTCATCCCATAAAAATTCTTACCTATTTCCAGGACTGTGGCCTTCCAAAAGGGCCATGGCACACACACAAATACGTGTTGGTTTTCATTATTAAGTTTCTATTGAGGATGAGTGATTGTTGTTAGCTGCCATGGAGTTGTTCCCTGATTCATGGTCACACCATGCACAGTGGAATGCAGTGCAGCATGGAGTTTCCTTTGGCTGATTTTTAGAAAGAGATGACTCGACTTTTCTTTCTAGTTTATCTTAGTCTGGAAACTCCACTGAAACCTTATACAAAGAATTTAATGCCTTTCACTTCTAGTAGATCCTGATAGCTGATTGTTTTCAGTTTATTTTAAAATGATGATGCTTATTATTATTCTTTATTCTTTTTCCAAGATTTCACAAACTGAGGACAAAGGGAACCAGGCTGAGAAGCTGATCACCCCTCCAACGCAAGAAAATGCCAAGAAGCTGAATGATCTTTCCAGTTCTGCTTCAGATACCAAGATAGCAGAAGCTGACAAACAGCCAAAAGAGAGCTTTTTTCAGTTTCTTGGTAACCTATTCAATATCTCAGGAAAATCATCTCTTAGTGAAACTAAGCAGTCTTCTTCCAAAGATGACCAGGACAAAACTGAAAAAGATTTGCCAAATCCCAGTGATCACCATGAGGAAGGAACGAAAAGGGAGGAGGAGGCTTTCAGCGGCTCCGTTGGAACGGAGACATTTCCACCAGAAGAACAAGATTCCAACTCAACTGAACTCTCAGATACTTTTTCTCTGGATACAACACAAGACAGTGAGCAAGAAACCAGCGATTTGCCAAAGTAAGTTTATAATTTAATTGAGCTCTTGGACCTAGTTTTTTTGGGTCTTAATTCCAGCCCTTTTAATTGAGGATGTTAACAATGTGGATTACAGCTCCTAGAGACTCAGGCATGTGAGGGTAGCACTGTCCTTTGTAGTGACTGATTTCTCAGAATTACATCTTCAATCTTTTCTTTCAAGCAGCCTCTGGACTCAGACTTCCAACATTTTGGTCGGCAGCTAAGTGAGTTAACCATTTGCAGTTCCCAGGAGCTCTATAATGTACGGAAAGGTACTGCTCTCTAAAAAATTGTGATTTCTGTTTACCATCAAGACTTTCTTAGTCATCTTAAGGAACAGTAATGTGGGAATACAAGATTTATTTCTAACTTAAAACATCTTTCAAATCATTACCTTCCAGTCAGATCTGATTTGTAGCTGAACCTTCAGTGGGGTTTCAGAGACTACGGATCTCAAGAGAGGAGATTATCCATCTTGCTGCCAAGGAGCAGCTGGCGGGTTTAAACTGCCTGCTTTTTGCGTGAGAGTGCAACTCCCTACCCACTAGGCCACCAGAGATGAGAATATTGTCTGTTATTTGAATTCCTCCTGTATTCGGTCAGTCATTGTTTTCAGTATGTACATTTTGGGTTTTATATTCTCATTGTTTCAGACTCTTTTCTGAAGGAATTCTAGTGCAGTAGTCTACAGGGAATTTTGCTGCTAACCCAAAGGCAAAGACTTTCTAGTGATTCAAATGCACTAGCAGCATCTCTTTGGGGAAAAAGGGAAAACTGCTGTTGGAGGGTCAGATATGAGTTGATTCTAACTCGATGGCAATGAGTGAGTTTCTTTATGGAATCAAAGGAAAGTAGTTAAGGAATTAAATGGAGCATATTCACGAGCGTAGCCCTGTGAGCCTCTCCCACTAGTCTACGGAATTGAAACCCTCCATAAATTAAGGAAGCATTCCACCCTTTCACTTTGTTTGATTAATAAACAGGCTTTAACTTGTTTTCTTTTCATCATATGAGTTAGAACAAATACTTTGAAACTGAGAAATATTTATAGCAGTCTTAAACCCATTAAATATCTTATGTAACATAAAAGCTAGTAAGTTTATGTTTTGATTTTTAATTGATTTTAACTCACCCTCTACTTGAGGATTAATTTAATTATTTGAAGAGGCCATCAGCAGTGTTGGACTCAGGATATGTTGTTGTTGTTATGTGCCGTCGAGTCGTTTGCGACTCGTAGCGACCCTGTGTACAACAGCCCTAAACCCTGCTCTATCCTGTGCCAATCTCATTGCCTCTGACACACCCATCCCGATTACCCCAGTCACTGAATCAGTCCACCTCATAGAGGGTCTTCCCCTCCTGCGCTGTCCCTCTACTCTACCCAGCATGATGTCCCTCTCTAAAGACCTGTCTCTCCTTACAACATGTCCAAGGTATGTCAGACGAAGCCCCAGAATCCTTGCCTCCAAGGAGCAGCCTGGTTTAACCCTCTCTAGGTTGAATCTGTTTGTTTTCTTGGCAGTCCAGGGTATATTCAATATTCTTCTCCAGCACCACAGCTCAAAGGCGTCAATTCTCCTTCTATCCTCCCTAGTCATTGTTCAACTCTCTGATGCATAACAAGTGATTGCAAAGACCATGGCCTGTATCAGGCGGACCTTAGTCTCCAGAGAGACACCATTGCTCTTGAGTACTTTAGAGAGGTCCCTAACCGCAGACTTTCCCATCGCAATACGTTTTTTGATTTCTTGGCTACTGGTACCAAGAGTGTTGACCATGAAGCCGAGCAAACTGAAGCTGTGAACAATCTCAATCTCTTCACCATCCATCCTGATGCTACCGATTGGTCCAGTGGTGAGAATCTTTGTCTTCTTGACATTAAGCCTCAGTCCATATTGAAGGCTGCAGTCCTTGACCCTCTGCAGTAAGTGCATGAGGTCCTCCTCAGTTTCAGCGAGCAGGGTTGTGTCATCTGCATAACGCAGATTGTGGATTCAGGATATAATTTATAACCATGGAGTTCTTTATAAAGAACTTTGGTATGCACTCAGGATATAGATAATTTATAACCATGGAGTTCTTTATAATTCTAGTGTCTTTGGTATGCTTTCAGTTCATTTTTCATAGCAAGCTTATGAGATAGGAACAGACCCTTGCTCAGTTTTGAGAACCAAATTCCTCACTTCCTTGCTCTTGAGTCAGAACTGACTCATAGCTGACCCTTCAGATTTTTAGAGGCTGTAAATCATACCAGAAGAGACTGCCCATTTTTCTCTCAGTGGCTGCTAGTGGATTCAAACTGCTGAAAAGCAGCACACCACCATTGAGAACTGAGAACCATGTATTTTAGGGATTGTTCTGTAGTGAAGACTTTCTTTTAACCCAAACCCATTGTTGTTGAGTAATTTCTGACTAAAAAAAAATATATAGTACAGGCAGAGTAAAACTGCCCCATTGGTTTTCTAAGACTGTTTTAAATCTTTCAGGAAGGAAATGATCAGATTTTTTTTTTCTCATGGAGAAGCTGGTGGTTCAAACCACTGATCCTACTGTACTTTAACTCTGGCATCAGGGCTCCTTTCTCTGCCAGATGTTAAAATGAATTGGTAAGGCTACAGTAATTTAAATAGTATTATGCAGATAAAATATTTAATAAGTATTTACAATACAAAATAAACAACTATAAAGGAACAATTGCAACATTGGCATGGCCAAATATGACTTCTATGCCTTTCATAAAGGGGAACTGTCCCCATCAGTGTCATTCATAGTAATATACAAATAGGTATATCATCAGACATACCACCTGACATATTCCTGCACCTGTTCCTACCGATCATTGGGTGCAGTGTTTGTTGTTGACTCACAGACATTACTCACAGTTGTGGGATTTAGTAGGGAAATAAGTTGGGGAGTGGAGGAGGCAAAGAATATCACATGATAGTAGTCCAGTTTTAGTCTAGCAGTCCTAAGTCAGATTAACAGCAAGACACAATTCCTCTATTTATGAAAGACAGCTTCTGCAGTCAGCCAGTGAAAGTCTAGATTCAGTTCAGCAGCACGAATTCAAGAAGCCTCTGGTTTCCTCAGTGGCCAGCAAAACTTAGAGCAGTTACAAATTAGCCTTTCCTTTAGTCATCCAGCAAGCGAAACTTTTAACTATGGCTCAATCTCTGAGGTTCCTCTAGTTACACCTTGACAGAGTCTCTTCATAGCAGTGCAAGAATCTCTTCAGCCTCTTTCTATCTATCACAGTCATTACATTTTCTCACAATGTGGAAAGTGCTTTCTTATATTGGCCCCCAGCTATTGATGATTTGTAAGATCGTTTGTCCACAATTAAGGTAGCTGGAGATCATGCCCCTCCAAAGGGGGCTAACAAAATGGCTAAAAAACCCCAAATTTAAAGGGTTCTGACAACCCGCAGCTGAGAAATAGAACTATACATGTTTGTGAATTGAACCCTGGAATAAGATGACATTACATATTCTCATAGAAAGGAAAATTTAGTTAAAAAACAATTTAGTTGACAATTGTTAATTTGTTTAAAAATTGTAATTTACTTAGGAGTAGAATACTATTTTGGTAAACAGTTTATCAGTGTGCTTAAAAACTGCTAAAGCTGATTAGATATGAAATAATATAACTGGAAGATATTGTACTATTAATTTTGAGAATCTTTTAAATGTTAAAGTTATTTTGATTCTGTAACTCTTATTTTTATTCTATTCAGATCGCGAGACTATTTTAGGTATTAAAATGCTATTTTAAATTAGAATTATACTTTTGAAATTACTAGGATATTTAAGATTCACATAAATTGTTAGTTTTTTAAACTAGGAGAAAGTGAAGTAACAGAAGGTTTTGCATTCTCATTCTTATGTAAAATTTTCCAGTTCCTTTCACCTATGTAGGTCTTCATTGTGTTTTAAGGAGGGTTAGTGTTTTAAAGTGATCTTAATTTAGGCATGTTAATTAAAAACCCTATGCTGTATAACAAAATTATCATGTTATTGTTGTTATGTGCTATCAAGTCATTTGTGACTTATAGCAACCCTATGTGTATCTTTGAACCTGGTCTATCTTGAGCCAAACCTCATTGTCATTGACGCACATACTCCCCATTAGCCCAATCACTGAATCAATCCATCTCATCTAAGGTCTTCTTCCCTTGCACTGTTCCTTCACCTATTTAAGCATGAGGTCCTTCTCCAAGGACTGGTCCCTCTTGCTGGTACCAAGAGTGTTGATTGTGGAGCCAAGCAGGCTGAAGCTGTTCACAATCTCTTCACCATCTATCATGATGCTTCCAGTTGGCCCAGTGGTGGGTATGTCAGACGAAGCTTCAAAATCCTTGTCTCCAAGGAACAGCCTGGCTTCACCCTTTCCAGGACAAACCTGTTTGTTTTCCTAGCAGTCCAGGGTATAGTCAATATTCTTCTTCAGAACCACAACTTAAAGGCATCAGTAATTCATCTGTCATCCTTAGTCATTGACCAGATCTCTAATGCATAGCAGTACTTGCGAAGACCATGGCCTACATCAGGCACACCTTAGTCTCCAGACTTGTAACGTTATTCTTCAGTACTTTGGAGAGGTCATTGACAACAGGTTTTCCCAGTTCAGTTCATCTTTGATTTCCTGATTGCTAGTACCAAGAGTGTTGATTGTGGAGCCAAGCAGGCTGAAGCTGTTAACAGTCTCAATCTCTTCACCGTCTATCATGATGCTTCCAGTTGACCCAGTGGTGAGAATCTTTGTTTTCTTGATGTTGAGCTTCAATCCATAGTGAAGGCTGCAGTCCTTGACCTTCTGCAGCAAAGCCTTCAGGTCCTACTATTTTGGCAAGCAAGGTTGTTTCATCTGCATACTCCAGGTTGTTTATGAGTCTTCCTCTAATCCTAATGCCACTTACCTCCTTGTAAAGCCCAGCCTCCTGGGTGATCTGTTCCACATATAGATGGAAAAAATATGGAGATAGAATGCATTCCTGGTGTACG